AAAAAAAAGCTTCTGGCAAGTTGTAGCTTGTCTTTTTGGCCCAACATTCACAAATCCTCTATAACCGTATGCAGAATTTGATACCATCCGTCGGGGGTGGGATCTATGCAGGACATCTAATTTATCTACACGCTATGCAAGCGGGAAAGCTGTTTCCTCGGTTCTATAGCTTTGCATGCTAAACTTTCACCGCCGGTAACTGATAATCTATGTGGGTCAGGGAAATCACTTAGCAACTGATCTAGCCGGTACGTTTCTGGCAAGCCCGGCATTAGCTAGGCATCTGCAAAAATGGGAAACATCAAACTCCTTAACCTGGGAGATCCAGAACGAGGATACCTCCGTCGCAGTTTGCAGTCTGGCCGCTTATCGCGCCATGTTGAGGACGTAGACTATGCGAATTTTGCAATAATCTTGCAAAAATTTTATCCACTCTTCTATCCCGATATTTTTTTGGTCAAAGGTCATCATCGATCTAATCTTGGCTTGATTTATTTTCAATCATTCGTCGACTACAGGAGAAGATTTTGGTGGGTTGTAAGCCGCGTGTAGATGCAAATCATTTCTGCAGCAAATCTGCGAAATCTTCGCAACGTCTTGCCAGTTCTAATATAATTACAGATTTAATTACTAATATATTATTTCTAATGTATTTTTCACGTTTTGTTCTAAACAATTTCATCTTATCGTTTATTGTACCATAATATCGCCTTATTACTCTTCTTACCAAAATAATTTACATCGATTTTCTTGTTTTAGAACTCCTTCTCGTACTCCTTCTACACGTGTCTCAACAACCGCGTCCTACACTTTCGATTCTTCGGATCACAAGGGACTCTACGAGAGAACTAATCGTAGCGTGTATGGAACAACTAGCCCAACTGGTATGTTCTAAGGCAGTTTGAATCAGGAGGTCGTATTTGATTTACATCTAATTTCGAAGTCATAATTGAAGAGATTATTATATGCAGGTACTCGTGGGCTGTTGGATCTTGGCAATACCACTGGTGAAGAGGAGGATGATGACGAAGATGGACAAGAATCCAGTCGAGTCATTTATACTACCAAAGTGACTGGACCTGAAAGACGGTCACCGTGGAGAAAAGTTTGGGATCGACTGCTTGGATACGATGTAAGCCACTTCTCGTTTTTTT